TCAGTGCACTCCCACAAGGGGAGTGCTGCTCAGCCAGAAGCAGGGCTCACGGATGGCGAGTGCAGCGGCCCGCCTCCACGGCTACACTAAGGATGTCCATCAGTCGGACATCCCTCGAGGGCTCCTGTACTGCAAAAGGATGCAGGCTGGGCTGAGTGACTGCCCCCACCCCCAGTGGACAAATGTTGTGCACCGGGCCTCTAGTATTGTATAAAGCAAAATCAGATTTTAACTGTAAGCCAAAAGAGGATTTTAGGTAAAGCTTCAAGAGCCTGTATTAGTATCTATATATAATTATTTTTGGCTAATTATATGGAATCCTCCTTAATTTCCCTGTAGGAAAAGGAAAGACTTTGATACTGGGACAAGGTAATATTATTAAAATGTGGATTTTATAATGCAAACTTTGGTATACTAATACATAGCTCAGAAAAGTGAACAAGATAAATTTTTAAAACCTTAAAAATCAGAACATCATTTAACATAGGTAACAGTTTAAAAAATTAAATATTTGAAAATATGCTAATTCTACTATTAGATATTAAATAATTGGAGAGAGAATTGGTTTACTTGTTCAGAAATCATACATATGAATCAGATGGTGGTAATATGAAACCACTGTACAAAAATTTAGAGACAGTTATTTGAGTTCTTCCTTCATCAAAAAAGGAGTGGACTCTTTCCTAGTAGCTGAAAGTTCTTCCTTTTGAGAACTGTTTCCCATTAATATGCTAACACCCTAAACAAGCTAACAAATGGAGCCAAATTCTGTACTACATCTGTGCTTACCAAGCTATTCAGAGGGAGGGCAAATCAGTGATTCTGGGAGAAATTAATTGGATTGAAATCCTCAGGAAATGCAGTTTAAAAAAAAGAACTGCAGAGAAAAATTTGAACAGTATTCTGTAGTTTGTATTAATCTTGAACAATTTTAGAGCTATCATTGTGTTGTCAGTAAAGTGAATAAGTAATTATGTATAATTTGTTAGGTATGAAGATTAATAAAGGATGCACAGCTATAGAATCAATTTTAATTGGGAGGTAAAAATATGTATGTGAACTTGTGCCTTAACAAGAAAAAATAAAATAAAGTTTTTATTTTGTTTTGTTCATGAAAAAGGTCTAGAAACATCGTTTTATAAGGCAGGGCAGGATCCAAATTGCTATTACTCATACAATTTCTTTCCCACTAAAAGGAACGAGGAATCATTGGGGAAAAGTCTGGTTCCATGTGTTTCGTAGAAATAAACAAGGTGAGCCTGGAAGATCTTCATGTACCAGAAAGCAAAGACATTTTCAAAGATCAATGGGTGATGCCAAAAAGACATAGAAACCAGCCTAAAATATGTTGCCACCAACAAATGCTGAGGCAGTTTGAGCATCAAAAGTGGCTTTGTTTGAAGGAACAAACATAAAAATCTGAAAACCATAGGTCCATAATGATACACAGAAAGAGAAAAATTAATATATTTTGAAAGAAGTTATAAAGAACAGAGTGTATATCCAGGCAGACTTGTCATTCAATCATTTTGGTATCATTGATTCATTTATTATCAATAACATGACAAATAATAGAAAAACTGTATTAAATAGATCAGTTGAAAGCATTTGAGGATTTAAAAGGACTATTGGCATAATTACTGCATATTGTGACTTTCCAGGTAGATGAAACCAGTGTCCAAAATTTAACTGGAGATGCATTTAAGAATCATGTCATCCCGAGTATACAAGAAATGCAAAGTTCTCTCATGGGCCAAGGTCTTTGAAGTTGTATTTCTATGATCCTATCAAATCAAAGCTCTACACTCTTAACTTGAGGTTTTATAGATCTCTCTCCTCAAACTTAAATGAGGAAAAAGATCACATCTTTAATTTTAACCTTTATGTAAAATTTAACGTTCTCTTCATTAATGAATGCAGGTCACAGATCACAGCAGTACTAACAGGACCTATGACTTTGTCACGAGTGGAAATCCCAGATATTCTCATATCATATTCTAATTGTAGCAGATATCACAACATGCTATTTACGCAAAAAATTTATTGTATTAATAAAATATGTATTACTTTACCAAAGATTTGATTTTTAGTATTTGATAGAAACATTTCAATAGAATTTATTTCCTCTTTAATCCTATGTACGTACTTTATTTTATACATTGAACACTAGAAAGGTTCCTAGACTTCATCAGACTTCCCAATAGGTCAATGGTACCAAATAAGATTAAAGAGGCTTGAGAAGGGAAAAGCCCTTTATAAAGGCTTAGAAATTTAAGTGGGAGCTGCAAAACCTTTGAAATAGGCCTAAGAAACGGAATCCAGGGAAGTGGGCTGAGTGGACACTCTTCTCTTACAGTTAGTGGTTTTACAACAGGGCTAAAGATATCTTGACACCCCTCCAACCCAGAGCTCTGGTCTATGTCCTCTCCCTTTGAATCTGGATAGGACTGTTTGGACAAATAAAGAAGGAAGTGGCAATACAGAACTTCAGAGGTTAAAGGCAAAAAGGCAATTAATGTTCCTCCTTGTTCTTTGGGACACTTGTTTTCGTAGCTGTGAGCCGCCATGTAAGTAGTATCTCTACCCTGGGGCTGCCATGCTGTGAGGAAGCCCACACTACATGGCGTGGCCTCCTACTGGCCATTAGGTCAGCAGTCCTAATGGGGCCCAGCTGTTGTATGGCCCCAGCCCAAGTGCCAGACACGTTGGAAGAGAAGCTTCCAGATGATCCCTACTCCCAAGGTGTTTGTGTTACCCTGAGCCATTCACTTCCCAGCTGAGGCCCAAGACACCAGGGAGCAGAGACAAGCCATCCCCTCTGTGTCCTGCCTGAATTCCAGACATAAAGAATATGGATCCAAAACATAAATAGTGGCTGTTTTATGAGTTTTGGAGTGATTTGTTAATGCAGAAAGGGGTGACGAGAATAGGGTTTGGATGGGCCAAACATGAATCTAGTTAGTTTTATGGCATGAATCTCTCTTAGTAGATAATGTCAGTTGAAAGTTGAAAGAAAATAGACCACACGTAGCCTAAGGGCCAATCTAATTTTCCTACAGATCATGCAAGTTGCCGTTCAAATGACTATGGAACTCAGATTATATGAATCAGACTAGATGGTCTCTGATTACACAGGATCATCCTGACAGCCCATTCCAACTGTCTCAAGGCTACATTTCTATCCATGTCATTTCTATTCTAAACTATTTTTCATGGAGTGTGGGATGCCAGGCCAGTGCAGAACCTGATACCAACTCCACCTGCATTTGAACCAGGAGGACTAGGCCTCTTCAAGAAATTGGGAAGAAAGAACTGCTTAGGTGCCAGATGGCCGAACCCTGTGAGACTCTCTTCAAGAAGTCCCCAGTGCCTGGGTCTCCCTGGTCATGCCACAGGTAGTGTTACTGGTCTACTCCACCAAGCAAATCACACCCCCCTGTGCAATGAGCCATGAGCACATCAAAACCTCCCCCAAGGCATGGGGAACATTTACAAGGCATAGAGTCTAAATGACACCCCAGACTTTGGTTGCACTGTGGGTCTTCAGGTCTCTCTTATCTTATACTCATTTGGAAATGAATTGTGTGAAGCAGGAGAGTGACATGGCTTTTAAAACCAGTCAATAAAAGAAAAATACCACATGATCTCACTCATTTATGGATAATAAAGACCATTATAAACTGATGAACAAAAATAGATACAGAGGCAGAGCAGCATCGAACAGACTGCCAAACTACAGCAGGAAGGCCGGGAAGGGTTGTGGGGGGGAGGTAAGAGATCAACTAAAGGACTTGTATGCATGCATATAAGCATAACCAATGGACACAAGACACTGGGGGGTAGGGGAGGCCGGGGGAAGGTCAAGGGGGAAAATAAAAAGGAGACCTATGCCGAAACCGGTTTGGCTCAGTGGATAGAGCGTCGGCCTGTGGACTGAGGGGTCCTGGGTTTGATTCCGGTCAAGGGCATGTACCTGGGTTGCGGGCACATCCCCAGTAGGAGATGCGCAGGAGGCAGCTGATCGATGTTTCTCTCTCATCGATGTTTCTAACTCTCTATCTCTCTCTGCCTTCCTCTCTGTAAAAAAAAAAAAAAATCAATAAAATATATTTTTAAAAAATAATAATAAAATAATAAATAAATAAATAAAAAGGAGACCTATGTACTACTCTTTGTAATATTTTAAGCAATAAAACAAAATTAAAAACAAAAAATAAACAAACAAAAAACTTGTTTTTCTTTTTTTTATTAACCAGTAGATTTTCCACAAATTCTTTTCAATGCCTGTGATTAGAAATCTGCTATACAGAAAGTATTCTCCTGGAAATGTATTTTGATTGTAAAAACATTTCAGTTTACTGAAATCTGTATGTTATAGATTTTAACTTAAAACTATGTTGAGATAACATATGTGTATTATGTGTGCATATATATGTTTTAATATTTTTTGATTTAGTGATCTACTAAAAACCACGACAATACTCAATTTAGGACAAATTGGGAAATACTTGTTTTTACTCCATTGTAATATTTATAAAAAATATAGGTTGTCATTCACAGGTCAATTTTTTTTCATATCTAAAACCCTGTTATACCTTGAGCAAACTGGCAATTTGCTTTGTGCAGAATTTATTAATGCCTTCAGAATTTTTCTGTAGATAAAAGACCTGCAGATAACAAGTAGGATTGTAAATGGCTTTAAGTCCACTGAAGAATGAGCTCAGTTACACAAAAATTCCATTGGTTTGAAGATACCACACGCGGACACCTTTTAGAAGGCTTGGAAACTTAGATGGAGACACATGTGAAGAAATGATATTGTGTCATAAACATAAGGACATGACTGCTTACCTCTGGAGCCTGTGGTCATGACCCCAGTTCTCAGAGGGATTTCACAGGAAACAAAAGCAAATGTACCTTCACTTATAGGAACGGAAGCAGAGGATGGTGAGATTTGGTGAGACTGGCTCAAAAACTGTTAAAGAATTACCAAGTCGTACCTGTGAGGTAGGTGTTGTGCGAGGAATTAATGAAATAGTGAGAAAGGGGCTGAGACATATCTTCATTCAAATCCAGTTTCTCAGGTGAAACGACTCCGTTTTCTTCTCCACTCAGGTAGCGCATAAACCCGTCCACTGAGATCTGTCCTGGAAGCAATGCAGAGTGAAGAGGAGTGTGAGCGTATTCTTTTCATGGGTGGCTGGTATCATGTGATTTTACTTTTCCTGCCCAGAAAGCTCTGGTCACAGAGCAACACGGGCCACGGCAACCTGCTGTTTTTAAATATAAGAATGGTTATCAACTTTATGGATGGATATAAAAGTTATGAGTGCTTATCTATGGTTAATAGAATTAGGGGTGAATTTCTAAATTTTCCATTATAAATATATGCTACTTTTATAATAAAAAAGTTAATTGCAAGTGGTTTTATTATTTAAAATGAAGTGAAAATGTTTTCAAAAATAATCTTTTTTTTAAATAATAAAGATGACCACAAATGAATCTCTCTTGGGGGGTGGGGGGGGGAGTGAAAATCAAATGATAAAAAAGAGGTCTTTAAATTTCTTATTTAGAATGATTTTATTTCAAATGGAAGAAGTATGATTCACACTTTATTTGGTTTACTCAGATTCTGTTCTTTTCTTGTAACCTTTCTGAGGTGACTAATGCTAAATATTGAATTAATTCTTTATTGTTATCATAAAAAATCATACTAATCTTTATACAATACATAGAGAAAGCCATCTTAATTCTTTGATTCATCACCATAGTTTGTTTCTTTGACCTTAACCATCAAAGCCTGAAAAAACCCCAGCACATTTGTGGGTGGTAAAGACCTTGCTAGTACATGTTAGAGGGTAGCATTGTTTTCTTGTTGAAACGGTGTCACATTAATATAAAAGTGGTATACATTCACTGAAGAAAATTAGGAAGTGAGATAAGCAGAGGGGAAAAAGAAAACATTTTCTGAACAGCTCTAATTCTTCTTTCAGAGCTAACTACTGTTAAAATCGTGTATGTGTGTGTGTGTGTGTGTGTGTGTGTGTGTACTTCCAGAAGAAAAATGTGTGTGTGTATAATTATTTAATGAAAGCACAGCCGCTGCCTTCAAAGAGCTCATAATCTAAGAGAAAATAAGACAGTTCACACCTTGAAAAGGAGATGTGAGCTCCTCCAAAGCAGGGTGTGCATTTATGTCTGTCAGCCCTAGAATCTGCCACGAGGCTTTGTGCAGATAGGTGTGCAATCAGCACTTCTTTTCGACGATCAGTGATTTAAAATAGAAAATAATTTGCTTTAAACCTGGAAGATCACGAAGGACAGCATAACTGATTCTTTTTCCTGATTAGTTGGATCATGTGAAATTGCTAGTATTTGGCATTACGCAACTTGACAACGCGATACAACTTAATCTCTCCCTACCTGTATTCCTCAGTGGACCTGCAGTAACTGCAAGTATCCTTAGGGGCCAGCAAAGGAAAGTAAGGTGACTGCTGGGCTAGTGTGTGCACCAAGTCGCTGTGGGGTTAGGAAAACTCTCAAGTGTATACCTCTAAAGACATGCAGATGACAGCAGTAAAGTATTGTGTGCCCAACCACACCATCTTTATGGTGCTGGATTTAATCCTGAGGCTGTCAGCTTGTGTCTGTTATCTTACAGGAAAAAATATCTTTGGTCTAATCAGCAAATTTTAAAAGCAATTAAAACAAAACATGTGCCAATATGGCGGTGATGAAAAATTAATTTTAACTTTAGCATCGATTCCCATTTATTGCCTCTAGTGCCTTCTGGGCACTTGTGTTGAGAAAGATTCTGAAGTGAACTTTTGATTAATTTTGATATCAGCATGGGTACAGGACAGAAAAGTGGGAGTATACAAGATATATTTGTCATTCTCAAATGAGGATATTATAATTAAAGTCAAGTTTATACTCTACAATATGCCTGGAAGCATGTGTCAAAGTTCTATTTAATCCATTAATGAGGAAACCAGGAATATGACAAGGTCATTTCAAAGGACTCTATGAGACTCTGATACATGTATGTGTGTGTCAGCAAATTCCCCAAACAGAGAAAAACAACAACCCCAAAACCTGTCCTATTAGTCAATAGGATATAACCAGCTCTGTATTCAATTTAGCAAATTTTTTTGCATTATCATCTCTACCTTTATTATTCCATAGAAATTGAAAATTTTGGTAAAAAACAAGAATTAGGTGAATTGGTGTTTGAGAGGGCTATTTATCATTAATCATACTAAATAATGTAAAATTCCCCAGTGATGAATTGACCTAACCCGGAACAAGAATGATGAATGAGATTAGAGCACAGTTCAGATTATGATTATAGATTAGGTGAGCAAACCCTGGGAACCCCCTTTCAACCCCAAAGCTTTGCCTTGCTAACTAAAGGAACAAATGTGAAGATTTTGATGCACCAAATGACTAAGCACAGATATGCCAAAGTCAAGAAGAGCCCATGAAAAAGTAAGGATAAGGAGTGGTCAGTTTATAAGTTGCAAGGTGTCAACTAAGGGGTCTGGAGTTCATTTGCAAAAATGCAGACGGTACTGGCATAATGAATTAGCCCCCAAATAGTTCTGACTAGTAAAGGCTTTGAGACAGAAAACAGAGTCTTACTGAATTTCCCTTTGTTGCATATAACCTACAGTTAGAGTATTTGCATTTGCTGTTACCTCAAATGCATAAGTCTTTTTGCACTAACCTTGCACTATTTTTGCAAAACTGCTTACATTATTTTTCTGGTCTACTGAGGAGCATAGATGAATGGAAAACATTGAGAGTTAAGATACGAAAACATTGATATTCTAAACAAATTAGTAAGAGCACAAGAAATCCATTCCAGCGAGCAGTAACTGATCAGGGACAAATTCCACAACCATAGGATGAGTCAATTCTACAGACTCATAAGTCTCTTCTAGCTCTAAAATTCAATGAGTTCAAGTGGTTTAATATAATGGGGATGATTACTAGCTCAATTAAAACAAAATGTCCCATAATAGAATGAGATTATAAAACATCAAACCACAATTAGGAGCAATGCTACAATTTTCTGGAATAAAATCAACAGTGAAGGAAGTTAAGTTCAGAAGGATAAGGCCAGCTGACAAAGGCTAAAAGCAGAGCCCCCTATATATTTTCTTAATAAAACATTTGTATGCTTCCAATTGAGTGTGTCACTCATACCAGTATAATGAAGCATAATATACCACTTGAAACAGCGATTTTCAACCTTTTTATCTCATACACCATAGGCTAATTACTAAAATTCTGTGGCACAGCAAAAATGTATTTTTTACCAATCTGACACAAAAAAGGTATACTTTTGATTCATTCATACCAGATGGCTATTGTTGTGTTGGCTGTTGTCATTTTTTAAATTTGACAATCTATTTAGTTACTGCCCCGACTAAATAGTCAGGTATCGCATGTTTTAAAAATTCTTGTGATTAAAAACAAAACAAAACAAAACAAACAACAAACAAAAATTCTAGTGACATGCTGGTTGAAAATTGCTGACAGAGTCAAAATAGAAAAAATATAAATCCCTCAAGGGATGAAAAACAACAACAGCTGTATAAAGCTTTTCCATTCAAAAGAAGTTCTGGTGTTCAACAAAAAAGTGAACTGATGATGCAAAAGTGAAGAGATCTGACTTTTATGGGAAGAAACAATCTCCAAAGAGACATAAGAGGAAAGTGGCAAAATGATGGCCCCAATGGCCACTGATAGGACTCCTCATACTTCAGCCATATCCTTGCTGCAAAGAACTCTCAAATATCGCATGGGTTTGCACAGATGCCATGGCCAGCAACTGTACCTCTACCTCCTTCTGCCCGTCTCCCTCCCCTGGGGTAGATAATGACTGAGGCTCCACCAATGGCCTCCTGAACATGTCAGGAAGACAGAAATTCGAAATTCTGCTGTGACAAAAATGAGAGCACTCAGGGATGCTCTAAAATAATGCAGTGTATCCACTGACACTCAACTGGATGTATTTCATGCTTACAAGTGCATGAGAAGGCCCTTGAATAATTTATTAAGGTACGAGCTACTCTGATATCTTATCTAAATCTGAGGCCAGCCCATGGGCCTCAGGAACAACCAAGAGTGAGGAGGCTTTGTGTCCAAACAAGGAAACTTTGAAGAATAGAACAGAAGAATGGTCTAAGGGGTGTTGTGGACTGGTTCTCCCATCCTCTCAGGTTCTGACTCCTTAATCGACTGATGTCTAGAAGCTGACTTCCAACAGGACTTTTCAGCTTGCCCATTCTGTTCTGGGCATCTGAGAATGATGTTTCAGCTCAAGTCTCTCGGGGAAGAACAAGATATCATGAACTTACTTACCCTGGAGCTAAGGCACTCCTTTTCGGTGGTTATTAATAAACATATTTTTAGGGAGATGCCAGAGGTGGAGAATAACCAAGGATGTGCCCAACAGAGTCCTGACCTTCAAGAACTTAAAATATACCATGGCAAAATTCTTATTTTTTAAAATATATTTTTAAAATTTATTTCAGAGAGAAAGGGAGATGGAGAGATAGGTAGAAGCATCAATGAGGAAAGTAATTGGTCAGCTGCCTCCTGCATGTCCCCCCACTGGGGATTGAACTAACAACCTGGGCATGTGCCCTGACGAGTAATGGAACTGTGACCTCCTGAGTCATAGGTCGACGCTCAACCATTGAGCCACACAGGCCAGGCTCTCTCCTGATTCTTTACACGAGCTCAGTTGATCCAGGGAGGGAAACAGTACAGCATGATCAAAAACAATACAACATGATCAAAAGCTCTAGGTAGGATTCATGGGCACATCACTCAGGCACATTGAAGTCCGGCTCTTCCCTGCTCAGTGTGTTTTTTAATGGGAGGGTTACCTTGGGGATCACTCCATCATGGCATCAAAGTGCCGACAAGGAAGTGCTCCTGAGCTAGTCCTAAAAGCAGATGTGAGGCAGCAGCAGCAGAGTGCTAAAGAAAAAATAATGCTGTGGAGGTTCAAGGAAAGACATGTGGCTGGCTGTGTTTACAAACATAGTCTCGTGTGTGTGTGTGTGTGTGTGTGTGTGTGTGTGTGTGTGTGTATGTTTGTAATGGATTCTGACTTTAAAGGAAATATATGGTT